GTCAAGGCTGCGACACACTTTTCAATTGTTCGAGGATTCCGCAAAAAAGCGGACTGAACCAAATGTGCGTCAACAATATTCGCCGTTTGCCTTGAAGGCATCGCACGTCTGAGGCTCGATGGTTGTTTTTTCAACAAACATGCTTCGGCGAATAAAATTGCTAGTAAAAAGCGTTCAAGTATAAAGCCATCAGTTGAGTGGTCTGGGAAAGAGAAGGAAAAGCAAAACGAAACCATCGGTTATGCTCGCCTAGGACCTCCTACATAGCAGTAAAGCGGTCAACAGATTGGAAACCTTTCACTTTTTGTCAGCCGCCGATTACACAAAGAATAATGGCGCGTCAAAAGTTTGGAAACTTTTTGTTTCCCTTATCATTATGATTCCTACTCTTCAATGTTTACTTGTTTCTGTTAATTTTAGTTAAACCATTGAGCAATGTGTAATTTCAAAATGAATTCATATGCAAAGGAAAGCAGTTTTTCCATGGGGTCCTTTTTTAAACCCTACAATCCGGAATACGAAATTGAAACTGATTCTTAGTAGTTCAGTCTCTACGGAAGCAATATTATCGGAATGTTTCTAGCGTTATTGGAGTCGAGTAAGCATAAGAAGAATGATCATTCACAAAAAAGTATCTTACAAGAAAATTGGTCCTCTCCTCAAATACTTCGAAAGGTGGTTGGCACGTCCCGTGCCCCCAACATTCCCAACTAAGAGACAACTTTTTCTGGTTTTTTTCCTAATCATATGAAAGTCCAAGTGCACGCCAACATCGGCCGCGACCTGGTGAATATTACGGATGATGTCCCAACAAAAAGCCGTTGTTGGCTTTCAAGGGCAGGATGGCCCAACTGGCTTCCGCACTCTAACGGCTAACATGAACCGGAGCCAAGAGGTGAAACTTTGTCCTCAGCGACGAATGAGATTTCTATCTTCCTAGAAATAATATAGTGGACCCTGTGAAGTGTTTTGTCAAATGGGAACCTCATTTTGAGTATGAGATTCCAACAGTCAGAAATAGTGGAAGTACTGTCATGGATGAACATGTGTCCGACCATTCGGCGATTCCACAGTTCTAGGTATCCAGCGAAATGTGGGTTGGGCTAAGTACAAGTATAGTCTGTAGAATACAATGCTTACCTTAGATAGTCAGAACTAGCCGGAAAAGATGGGTTTTCTATTACGGAAATAACCCGATGCAGGCCTACCTCCCCACTGCCGCCTTCCTCAACCCAGAAAAAGGAGCTGCTATGAAGCGACCAAGTCAAGATCTGAAGTCTAATTGAGTTCTACATCTCACGGAAAAAGTGGCATGTCGCTCTACCCACGTTCCAGTTAAGAATCCCACCAAACAATGTGCTTTAGTTCACAGTGTATGAGGTCCGACTTAAAAATCCTAAAATTATTTTATAATCAATACCATGTCAATAAAAACGACGCTAAGATAGAAATTTAAAGCTACTCATCAAATAACTAATTTATCATGTGGATTTGAGAGCTATTTTGCCGAATTCGCTTTAGAATTCGGAAGTTTCCAAACTTTGACGCGCCATTTCCTATAAAAATTCGTATTTTTCAAATGCGATTTCAGTTTTCAAAAAATCATGTTACCCATCGTAATCTACACTAGAATTCTCTACACTAGATTCTGAATATAATATGTGAATTCGGGGCAATTTCATTGTCTATTGGCTACGCTAGATCAAAAATAAAAAAGTTTCCAAACTTTTGACCGCTACTGTATGTTTCAGCCCATTCCACCTTGGGATAGAGAAGGGGCGCGTTGGACGAGTTTCACGAACCTAACTCTAGTTGCTCCAGTGCCAATGAACATTGGGTCGCAATGGGACCGCTGCCTCAAATGCGCCCGCGCTTTTCAAGCAGCGTGGCAACCGACAGCGGAGGGTGGGGCTTGCGGACGAAGGTGTGAGTTGCGGGTCGGACGAGCTCCTTGCGCCTTTGTCGCGCACTTTCAAGCGGCAAAAGGGGCGCGACATCAACGCTTGTCCGCCTGTCTACTACCCCGGGATGGAACAGGCGAGCGCGCCTAATCCCGGAGCGTGCCTTTAAGAAAAATTCGAAAACTTGTAATGATGAACAGAAGAAAGAAAGAGCAAAAAGCGCCATAGGAAACACCATCCCTTCCGAAATGAGTCGTGGTATGAAGGAGGGACACAGCGCCGCTAGGAGAGGGAAAACGGGAGTGACTATGTTGTACGCGAGAGGGCGCAGACACCACACAGCCGCGATTGATAAGGGTGACAGCACAGCACACACGACACGGCTTCAGAACTGTTGCCTCGCACTTCTGAGCCACAACAGTGTCGCGCCTCCTGTGCTTGGGGACTTCGCTTCCACACTCTAGGAGAGACCCCAGTTCTTGGCACCTAAACCCGCTTCATAGATCGAAAACACTTGAAAACCTTGACTTTCACTGCAATGTGGGACCGCATTTTTTGAAGTTTTGAAGATGGCGAGTGAGCAGCGACTAACATCTTGAAAGAACCAGATTGACGACCACTGAAGTAATCCCTTACTACATACATTACCGAGAGGATTGTCTTTCAATTGCAAAGCATTCAAACACCAGGGCACCTAAAGTCTTTCGCGGGGAATTGGCGGTTTCGCCCTTTTCAAACTCACTCTGAATGTGTGGTGTGAGACAGTCGAATCTCTCCTGGAACGTTCGGATAATGTAGAGAGAGCGAAGACGTGGCTCAAAACGCGGGATCCTGAACGACCAAGACCTCGAACTCGCATACCTATGTTAAAATTTGGAAAAGCACTCACTGAGCCATTTCGTAGAGGTAGCGATCGGCCAAGGCGAGAACCGACGGCGAACTGTGACGATTGACAGCGCTTCGCAGCAGAGTCACCTCTTCCTTACTCGGAACAAATTTGAGCATCTAAAAATAGCTGATTCTCATTCTCCTTGGGCGGAAAAGATACGATTCACTTGAATTGTATTACCAACTCCACAGAGCTAATCGCTACCGATTCGCCGCGAAGTAACTCTCGTGGGAACAAATGTTCGGGGAACTATGAAGAAAACGCACTTGTTCGAGCATGTCCTTGGGAAGTTTCCCTTTGTCATCCATCGCCAAGAGTGCCGTTCGAATTTCTCTGTGGGAAAGCTTCAGCTTAGAGAGCATAATCGTGCAGTTCTGATAACGCCTCGGATCGATCACCGAAACCTGAACTCATCGAATTAGTGATTTCATTAGTATGTATAGAAAGGCAATAATATAAATTGTACTTGGGTATCCCTAGTTCTCCTTGATATCGTGCTGTAGAAGTCAGTATCCTCTTCCTTTTGGGAGCTCGATGCGAATGTCGAAGCCACATCTTCCAAGTCCAGCTAAATATGCAAAAACTGAACTGAATTTCAGGAAAAGTGAATTAGAAAGGTCTGCTCATCGCTGAGAAATCAAATGCATGTCGAGGTGATAAAATGAAAGCACATTCTATGATTAAGCCGGTTTAGCTATTTCGCGCAAAGATGGAAGAAGAGGCGCGAAATTCACAGACCTA